GAAAAAATAGATTTTTCATATGTTTTACTATGTGATCGACAAAAATTACGTAGACTTTTGTCCAGTGAGTGTATTTATACATTAGACAATAATTAAACAGTACGTTACTTGTTTAAAAAATCCAGAACAATAGTAATAACCGAATATTAAAACTTTAACAGTGGTCAGAAACAGTTTCTCGGGTGCAAATACTGGTCGCATGCGCAGGTAAATCTGTCACTGTTATCGAGAAGTCCGGAAAACTAGCAAACCTTTACTAGTACGCAGACAATCACATGACGCTACGCTCGCATTCTTTAGAAATTCCTTCAACAGTGCCACGTGCGACGGATCTTACACAAAACCTCGTGATTGGGCGGGTCAGTAGAAAAATTTCGCCGCCTTGAAATAAAAGGAGAAACATGACTCGGGCGCTTCGAGTATACTTTCGAGTATGGCCACAAGTAAAAAATTTCCACGAGGGAAAAAAAATTTACGACTTTTTTAAAGCGTATGGTAACATTGAACTTTTTCACATAAGAAGGGTAAGCAAAAGAAGTGGGGAGGTGTTTGTACGTCTGTATGTTTGTATGTGTGTGTGTGTGCCTTGAGAAAAACTTAATTCATCGCTCCGACTTGCGGAAACAACTTTTTTACCTGATGCTAGGAAGCAGACACAACCAAATATCAGCGCATAGGCTTTGTCCAATATAAAGATTATGAAGAATCAAAGCATTTGATATTGGAAGATAATTATCGGATCGAGCCGATGGTTGTGAAAGTCGAGCTATCCGACCCCACAAGTATGGTATTTGCATCGCTAGTTTTTTTTAAACTTAATCCAATATTATTTATTTTGTTTCATATACAGCAAATGTATACGGCGATGCGAGCGCGTATCTGTTGCCTCTTAATCATATGCAGAGAGCGTGGGCATGGAAAGGCTTCTATACTAGCGATTCAACATTCCTCGGTGAGATAAAACCAATTGGTATTGCTGAATACTTGAAGAGAAATCCAGAGGAATACGAGCGGGAAACCTCGGCTAAAATAGTATAGTAATATTAAAGCTTACTATCGACACTAAGTACGAGCACACTGTGCATATAAGAAATTCCGAATCCTTTTGTTGCAGTGCGTCAAAATATTATGTCTTGTTTCAATTTTCTTGGCACAAATATAATAAACATATATCGGTAAAAGTTATATTCGATACATCTCTCTGCATCTACTCCTATTTTGCGTCTCCATTACGAGGAAGCGTAACTTCAGATACGTAATACAATATAGCTCGTACGAACGCGTTCAGTTTAGAAATTTTTCCGCATACAAACTTTCTGTCAAAGGTAGATACAGAGTATAATTTGAGGTTAAACAATAATCTAGTGTATACAAGGCCGATTTTACATCGAAAAAACAATCATAAGGCCATAATAGTAAACAAGATTTTATATGGGGCGTGCTGCAACAAAACCAGACAAAGTGAGCATGTGGGTTAAAAGCCAGTTGCGAGGGAAAAAAAATA